CGGCAGTCCAGGGGGTGTTCAGTACTCTTCTCTAACACCACAATTTAAAGGTGTCAATTATTCTGTCATCTTTATTCATTGTCCAGCACTCAGATGCATAGCAAGTGACTGAAAAAAAACCCCACAAAAACCATGACCTAAATCAGGCACACCTTAGTCCTCAGACTGGCATCATTGCTCCTCAGTAATTTGGAGAGGTACATGACGGCAGACTTTCTCCATGCAGTACGTCTCCTGATCTGACTGCTGGTACCAAGTATATTGATTGTGGATCCAAGTAAGATAAAGTAGTTGACAGTTTCAATTTTTTTCCCTGTCTGTCGTGGTGAAAGGTGGAGGGTTGACGAGGAGAGGAAGACCCTTAACCAGGTGGATTGACATGGTGATTGCAGCAATGGGCTCTTCTTGTGTGTCAGGAGGTGTGAGGATGGCGCAGGATAGATCTGGGTTCAGATCTTTTGTTCATAAGGTCGTTATGAGTGTTCTCGACTTGATGGCACCTAACGACAACATCATGGTGTTTCCTATCAGTACAGCTACTTAAGCCTAACTTCTTGTTGTGTACTGTTGCGTTGGAAGCACCCATAGCTGACCCTCCACTGGGTTTTCAGAAGCAGTTAAATGCACAGAGCGAGATTGCCCATCTTTCTACAATGGAGCAGCTGGTGGATTTCAACTGCGTACCGTTGAGAATACAGTGTAGCTTCTTTCCACTTCTGCCTTTGCTGGATTTCTCCCTCCCCGTCTGTCAGTCTGTCATGTGATGCAAGAAGCTGTGGCATTGGTGCTTCAGATCCCAGCAGGGGCCCCCTTGGTAGACAGGTTTGTGTGGAGCTAAGAAGAATGAGCTGGAGGTCAGTGAAAGCCCACAGCCGCACCCCTGCGGGAAGGCACCCGAGATGTACAGCGCACAGGCCAGCAGCCCGGAGATGGGTGGGACCAGGCATGTTTCATTCTGAGGTGATTCATCACCAACTTGATGGGAGCTCATGGCGATGGGTGGGGCTCACTCTTGTTAAAACGTTTGAGGAGACCTCCCTAGCCAGTTGCAGTTACTGTATTGGTTAATTTTTTTTTTTTACATTTTTTAAAATTTATTATTAATTTCAATGAAAATTTACAGACTTTGGATTTCCATTCATTCATTGTTGCAGTTTTCTCCCCTCCCAACCCTCCCCCCTCATACACTACCCTCTTGGAAAAGTAAAAGAAAAAATATTTCATTGGTTTACAATCCCTCCCCCCAGGTCCACTCCACTATGCAGCCTTCGCTCTGGACTCCTGTCATGACAAAAATACCTAATCACATATCCCTTTTAAAGAGTTTCTCCCTCATGTGTTTCAATGCAGTATACATAATTAAACACATCTTTCTCAGTCTCCCCCCAACCCCAAGGTCAGCCTTGCTTTACAACAGTGGCACCATGCAGTATTTGTCCTTTTGTAACTGAGATACTTCACTCAGCATAATGTCCTCCAGAGTCACCCATTTTGAATAATATTGCATGAGTTCCTTGTTTTTCAATGCAGTGTAGTATTCCATTGTGTGAATATACCACAGCTTCTCTATCCATTTGTTTGTTGATGGACACTTAGGTTGTTTCCAACTCCTTGCTATTGTGAACAAAGCTGCGATAAACATGGGTGTGCATGTATCTGCTTGGATGTCAGTTATGGTCTCTTTGGGGTATATTCCCAGTAAGTGGAATTGCTGAGTTGAATGGTATCTCTATTTGCAACTTTTTGAGAAAGCGCCATACCGCCTTCCACAGTGGCTGGACCATGTATTGGTTAAATTTGTTCACAGCAGTGGTTCAGACATGGAGAGGACCAGGGTCTGTGCCTCTGTTTGTATTATGCTTCCTGCTGTTGTTCAGAGGGCTCTGTAGGTTCACGGGATGGGGGTCATGATGAGAGCTATCATCAGGGTCACAGCACATGGGACAGAGAAGTTCTGCCCTGCCCTTCAGTCATGGGGAAGACGCACCAAGGTCCCCAGAGAAAGTGTAACCACGTGGAAGGTGGAAGCTCCCATAGCTCCAGGTGTGTCCACAGTCTTGCAGGACGCAGGGCATTTGTCAGCAGTACCCGGGGGGCGTTTGCAGGTCTGATGCCACAGCTGGAGCCTGGAAGCTGACGTGGGCACTCCCAGGCCTGGAGAGGAAGAAGGAACGGGACAATGCCATCCTCAGACTGAACTTTGGTCACCCTGGGCCAGCCCAGCTCCCATCAGGTCCACCCCATGTGTGTCAGCAACTGGTGGTCACCAGGCCTTTGTCCAAAGACGCCTCTGGATGGACTCAAACCACCAACCTTTCAGGGTGCAGTGGAGCAGATTCACCATTTGCCCCCTGAATCGTGACGTTCTGAAGTCCTAAGTCCCTGCAGGCAGCCGCCATGTGTCATTACAGAGAGCCCATGTCACATGAAGTGTCACTTTAACCCATCTTCCTTTTCTGGTTGGTGACCTGCAGGGGAGCAGAACTGAGAAGTGGGGTTGAGTGTGTCAGTGCGTCTCATCAGGCAGCTGGTCCTCTGGACCAGGCTGAGAAGCCACCGAGATGCGGAGATAATTCCCCTAATGGCCCCTTAGCCCAGGCCCAGAATGAAAGTCCCCAGAAGGTGTTAATTAGAGGGCTGCTGTCACCGGAGGAGTCTGTCTTCTGCCTTGGGTGAATTGATTGCTTAGCATGTAATTTAAAAAGATAAAGGCACAGAGGCGTGTTCGCCAAAGCCGGAGGTGCCAGTCAAGGTAGCATCCAGGACCAGGAAAGTTCCAGCAGCAAGAATGTGTCTTGGCTGCAGCCGGCAAGGTGGCATTTCGCGCAGTGGGTGTTTAGATTCCTCTTGTCGTTGTTAGCTCTTTCGCTCCGGTCAAGCTGGCCCCCAGTTCTTCTTGTTATTGTCAGGTGCTGTTGAATCGACTCCGAATCAAGTGGAGCGTGGTTACAGCAGCATGCACCCCCCGCCCGGTCCTCTGCCACCCTCATAAGTTCTGCTGTGCCCACTGTTGCAGGCAAGGCGTCAGTCCATCCCGAGCGTCTTCCTCTCCCTCCCCGACCCTCCACTTTCCCAGGCATCGTGTCCTCCTTCACACCGTCCTCACCTCTAAGTGCCCTTGGCCGGATTCACTTCCTCCAGCACAGGTTTGTTTCACTGGTGTAGTCAGTCCTCTTCTCCAGCACCGCAGTTCAGAGACGTGAGTTCTTCCTCGCTCTTCCTTATTCATCGTCCAACTTGGATTTGTCTGTTAGGTGATTGAAAATTCCAAGGCTCGAGTCAGACACCCCCACTCTCACGGCAACCCCCAACTCCACGATCAGTTGGATTTCGAAGTGTCTCTTCCGCAGCGGTTTGGGAAGTCAAGTCACCAGGCCTTTCTTCCTGGTCCATCTTCCTGGTCTAAAAGTGCTACTGAAACCCACTCAGCCTCCTAGTCACACACAGGCCTGCATGGACGAGCTCCTGCACAGAAAGTGAGAACCCTGCCTCAGAGTCGTTGCTGCCCCCCAACCAGAAACCCCACCAGCACCGAGGGGGCTCCATCGTGGACCCTCCCTCAACTGCCCATCTTTTTTCAAAAAGCAGCTGGTGGATTTGAACCACAGGCCTTTCAGTTAGCAGCCCAGCGTGTAACATCAATTCATGAGGGCCCAGCCCATTCCAGATTAGAACTCCACCAGGTTTCGTGGCTGTGACCACCACTCTGAAGCTGATTGCCAGGCCTTTCCTCTGAGGTACCTCTGGGTATGTTGGGACCACCATGCTTTTGATGAGCGATGTTTAACTTCTTGGGTCGCCTGTTCTATAGTTGCTGCTCGCTAGTTTCCATTGACGGCGGGGTGGGAATAGTGAAGGGACTCGAGGCCTTCCAGTCCCACATCCCCCTGCTTGTCTGCAGTTGTGTTTTGGCATGGCGTTTGGGGGTGACAGTTTTGGTGTTGTGTTTTGCCATCTCCTCACCTCCACCTGCCTTGACGGAGCCTGTTTCTAAGCTTGGCCAGCTTCTAAGCTTGGCCAGCGCACTGACCTCACTGGAACACTCACTCTCCTGCGAGTCCAGGTCACACCTTAGTGTTAAAGGCCGTGGTGATAGCTGTAGGCCTGGCATAGCCACCCAGAGGGCGTGGCCCCATCCTGAGCTGTGCAGGTGGATGGAGGATGTCAGGGAGCAGGGTGAGCCTCTTAGATGAAAGCTGTCTCAACTTCTCACTCACTAGCTAACCAGAAAGTTGGTGGTTCAAACTCATTGACACCTCAGAAGAAAGGCCTGGCAATTTGCTTCCTTTAAGACCACAGTCAGGAAGACCCAGTGGAGTGCCACACACACACGGGTCGCCATGAATCCAAACCGCTTCAAGGGCAGTGGGTTTGGCTGGTTGCTTTCAGGTTATTAAGTCCTGTTAACACTATCCCAGTTAGGGAGCTCTGGTGGATGAGTCGTAAGGAGTTGGGCTGCAAACACAAAAGCACACAGTTCAAATCCACCAACTGCTCTGTGGGAGGATGGGCAATCTCCTCCTGTGCAATTTACAGTCTCTGAAAACCCGCTGGAGGCTCAGCTCTGAGTCCATTCAGACTCAACAGTACATAACAATCACGACAACAACAAGTAGGGAGCTCGGGTGGCCTACTGGATAGGGAGCTGTGCTGCCCACCCAAAGGCAGGCAGTTTGAATCCCCTGGCCGCTATGTGGGAGAAGGGAACAGTCTCCTCTGAGATTTACCGCCTTGGAAAAACCTCCGGAAGGTCAGCCGTGGGTTGGTTCCAACTTGACAGCAATTCCGCCCCCCACATGCATGGAGTCCTGGGCGATGCAGGTGGTTAATGAACCCAGACGAGAACCGAAAGGTTGGAGGTTCAGGTCCACCCATAGGTGCCTCAGAAGAAAGGCCTGGCAATCAAGTCAGGGAAAGTACGAGCACCGAAAACCCATGGGGCGCAAGTCAGTGACACACAGGGTCACCTTGAGTGAGAGGTGACCTGATGGGAGCGGGAGGGGAGGTGTTCATGTGGCTGCTTATTTGGAGAGGACTCGGGGCAACACCACGGAGCCCCATAGACATAGTGAGTTGTGTGGTGGGTTGCTGACCAAAAGGCCGACAGTTTGAACCCACCTCCCACTCTGTGGTAGGGAGACAGGCAGTCTCCTCCTGTAAAGACTGAGGCCTCAGAAACCCAGTGGCGGGTGCCCCCCAAGGAGAATCAACCTGACAGCCATGGGCTTGGTCACAATGTTGGGGCATGTTGATGGTGGTCGGTCATCACACCTGAGGTAGGGGCGTGTAGGGCGTGCACAGGACAGGCCACCATGGAGAAGGACCCCTGCCAGGCCCGCCATGCTGAGGGGAACAGCCATGGTGTAGACCCCCCACAGGAGCCTGCATGGTCACTGCGCTAACGTGCGTCCTGTTGGCCCCAGGCAGCTGTTCCAGCCCCTGAGAATCCGGGTCCTGGCTCTGCCCGCTGCACCTGCTTCTCCCCAGGATGACCGCTGGCAGTCTCAGTAGCGGGAGTCTGACCCTATTTCCTGTTGTTGACACGATGTCAGTTGCTTTAGGGTTCGTCTTTGACTGGCGCAGGCCCTGGCTCGACCCTAGATCTGCCCGAGTCCAGGCCTGCAGCCTCTATGCCTACTACGAACCATCCATCCCGTGAGTACATTGTCCAGCACCGTGAGGGACACTGCTCAGTGGTGGCTGGAATCCCAAGGTCACGGCAGCCAGCCCCACAGGATGATGGTAGCCTCCCCTCTCCTATTCCCTGTGGGCTCAGGCCCTCCTGTGCCTGGATCCTCCCGGGTGGATATGCCCAGCTCGGCTGTCCTCACCGCACGGCCGTCCCCCACCACAGCCAGGACTCTGAGGCAGGACTCCTGGGGCATCTCAGCTGGCTCTTCCCGCCTCTGTCTTTCTCCTTGCCTGCAGCTGGGTCCCCCTCATTACAGGCCGCTCCTCAGGGCCTCGACCCAACACCTGAGTCACCAGGCTCCTCCAGCCTCCCCGTACTTAGCCGGGCTCCCGGTCCCTGTCATTCCACTCTCCTGTAATTAAGTCCTTGTTCCCTCACTGCGTGGGGCCCTGCCTGTCTCACCTCAGCTCCTCCCTAATCACTGCTGTTGCTGTCGGCACTGTCACCTTTATCACCGTGAGGCACAGGGCTAGTCACGCCACTCCCAAGCCTGGGAGGCCCTCTGGGCCATCCAGGAGGATGTAGAGCTCCTTGCAGAGACCAGGCCCTTTGCAGCCAGTTGATGGTAACCCAAGGTGCAACCCCAGCTGTGAAGAGGGAAGAGCTGCTACGTGGGGTCCTCTTGGCTAGCATCTCGGTGGAAGCAGTTTGCCCGGCCTTTCTTCTGAGGCACCTTCAACCTAGTAGTCAGAGCGTGCGCACACACACATACCTAGGATCTGAAAGTGCCCTCCGCAGCAGGAGAGCACACAGATGTCACACACTGCACCCAAGCCTGCCACCAGAGCTCCTTCTCTGCCTCTCCCAGGACCCCTCCCCATGAGATGCCCATTCCTCCAGCCTCCTGCTTGTCTCTCCAGGCAGCAGCCTTCCCCTCTTCCTCCTGCCCTGATGGACTCCTACACATCCTCCACCACCCCGTGCAGGTGACCCCATGAGGCCGGCCTCACAAAACGACCCCTACCCCCTCCTGCCTGATGGACTCCTACACATCCTCCACCACCCCATGCAGATGACCCCATGAGGCCGGCCTCAGAGATCGACTTCCTTCCCCTTCAGGAGACTCCCCGGTTCCCAGACTGGAAGCCCCGCCCTCGTGGTCCCTGGCTCCCCCCAACACCAGCACCCCACAACAGAACATGCTGATGAGGTCCCTGCACACATCCGCACGTAGCTTTTGCGTGTGCCGTGGTGCAAACACACATACACTAGCCAGACACTCGTCTCTGCCACTCTTAGCCCTGCTGTTACGGTCACGGTGTCCGTCCACCCCGTTGAGGGTCTTCCCCTCCTTCACTGACCCTCCACTTTTCCCGGCATGATAGCCTTCTCCAAAGACTGACCCATTTTAACATGCCTCACGGATGCGTGGCGAAGTTTTGCCATCCTTCCTTCCCTCTAAGGGGCGACCTGACCGCGCCCTCTCTGGGACGTATTTGTTCGTTCTTTTGACCGAACGTGGGATGTTTAGATGATGAGGCTGCACGGGGCGGGGCAGGTTTCAGATCTGACGTTCACAGGGTTGCTCTGGGTCGACCTCGTCTTGACGGCACTGACATCTCAGCAGTGGCCACACGTAAGTTCAATGGCATCACTGGCTCTGACTAATGGGGTCATTCATTCTCCTGTCCTTGCCAAATCATTCCATCACCACTAACATAACTCTCTCCCTCCATCCCTCTTCTCACCCTTGTGACTGCTAGGGGACTTCTGTTGTTGTTCTTGTGTGCTGTCACATCAGAGCCAATGCTAGGTGACCCTTGCAGAAGCAGTAAATCACACGGAGGAGATTGCCCACCTTTCTTCTGCGGAGCAGTTGGCGTATCCGAACTGTGTGCCTTTGGGGTTGTAGCACAGCTTCTTACCAATAGGCCACCAGAGCTCCCTGCCAATAGTGCTTAGTATGGTCTATGTGCTGCTTTCTCAGAGGTGAGGCGATGCGGTGTCTGTCCTGTGACCACTGGCTTTGACCACTCAGCATGTCCCTGAGGTGCGTCTGTGATGCAGCGTGCAGAGGGCTTCCTTGCCCTGTACAGACAGAGTGCTGCCTCACGGCATGGACAGACCACGTCATCCTTGTCCGTTCCTCTGTGGGTCGATGCTCTGCTGGTTCCCACCTCTGGCCCTGGTTCTCTAGTGCTGCAGTGGACACTGGACCACTGGAGCTGCATAAGCTGTGACTTAGCGAAGCTGTATGTCCTCCAGCCTCCCTGGATTTAGAGGGTTTGTGGTACCCAGATCTCACGTTGGCCCCCACACAGCCCAGTTTTGCGCCACCTTTGTGACCATTCAGAGTGCTCTGGTGCGATCCATGGAGTTTTCATCATCTGCTGTTTTTGATGATTGCCAGGTCTTTCTTACAAGTCTCTCCATGTAGAAGCTTCGCTGAAGTCTGTTCAGTATCCTAGCAACATGCAGGCCTCAGCAGAGAGACCCAAGGGGCTGCACTTAAGGAACACAGGCTGGGAATCGAACCTGGGTCTCCTGCATGGAAGAGGCTGACCCACTACTGCCCTCTTTGGAGTATACCACCCAGTCGTGTGATCTGACCAGGACTCTTAGGGTTCTTCCTCACTGAACCCTCCCAGGACCCCTGGGAAGCAGGGTTGGTTCCCCAGTGCCGCTGCTGCCCCTCCCACGAGTGGGGGTAGAGTCCAGATCTGGGGCAAGGCCAGATCAGCACCCTCCTTGTCAGGACCCTGGCTGCTGGGCCCCTCGGCTTGCAGGCGAGCCCCCTTTGGTGCCTATCCTCCTGTGTCTGCTCTGCTCTTGTTCTAACTCGGGCCTGACTGGGGTTGGGGCCTGGCCTGCACTAGTGTGGCCTCGCCCACAAGCTGGCAGCCAGACCCCCATCACCTGTGTGGAGGACATGAGTCCCTGCAGGGCTCAGGAGACTTCACAGTCTCAGCAGGACCTAGTAGGTGGCCAGGATCGCAGAGCTGGCTGTGGCCTGTGACGGGTCAGGACTCCCACCACCTCCAAAGCCTGCGCTCTGGGAGAGACCACCACGCTGCAGTCCCTCATTTTCCCGTGACCTTCAGAGACGACACATGGAACTTATAAAGGGGCTATTATTTCTGAAACAATCCCTTGGTGACTTAGGCACAGAAAGTGCAGTGATCAGGGACTCTGGGCCACTAACCAAACGGTCAGTGGTTCCAGCCCCCAGCTGCTGCTGGCAGGATGAACCCGTTAGGTTTGAGGTGTTAGCCATCTCTACCCTCTGGGCCAGTTCTTCTCGGTCCTGTGTGTTCCGTGCTTGGTTGATTTACCCACCCCCACCCCCACCCCACCGAGTGATAGAAAGAGTTGAAGCACAAGCCACTAACTATAGGGTTGGAGGCTCTCATTCCCCCCGCCCCAGAGGTGCCACGGAAGAAAGGCCTGGTCAACTGCTTCTGCAAAGTCAACCCTTGACCTACCCTGACCCATCTGGGAACTGCCACACCATCACTGTCCACTTGTAATTTTTATTTATTATTATTATTCAATTTATTTATTTACAAAATTTGAATACATTGTTTTCCAGACCAGATTCTTCCAATTTCCCTCACCACCACCGCCCATCAAATTGTACAACCCGATGATTAAACCGCCCTTCCCCCGCACATCCTGATCCATTCCCCCACTTGGATCCTCATACTCATTCTACAGTAATGGCTTTATTACACTGTCCATTTTTTGGTAATTTCTTTATTATTTTTTTGTTTGTTTGTGTACTGTCAAATCAGATCTGACTGGTACAGGAGGAGATTGACCCTCCTTCCCCGGCAGAGCATCTGGTGGATTCGAACCGTGAGCCTCTGGGATTGTAGTTGCAGCTCCTTGCCACTAGGCCACCAGAGCTCCCCTTTTTTGTTTGTTTGTGTATTGTCAAATCAGATCTGACTGGTACAGGAGGAGACTTTGCCCCTCCTTCTCCAGCAGAGCATCTGGTGGATTCGGACCTTGGACCTCTGGGATTGCAGTGCAGCTTCTTGCCACTAGGCCACCAGAGCTCCCTTCAACCGTCCACTTTTGACAGCATTTAGAAACCCACGAAGCTCATTGAGCTTTTTCTTTTTTAAACCTTGAATTTTAAAATCCTCTCAGATTTCCAAGAGAGTTTAAAAGGTGATCCAGGGGGTTTCCAGAGACCTTTTACTCAGCTTCCACTAATGTTAACTTTTATTATTATTATTATTGTTGTTGTTGTTGTTATTGTTGGTGTGTACCATAGGGTCGGAGCCGACCCATTGCTGACCCTCCAGTGAGTTTTCAAGGCACACGAGGAGATTACCCAGCCTTCTCCTGGGGAGCATCTCATGGCTTTG